TTTTATTACGAGATCTCTAACATCATGTAATATATAGGGAACTCGCGATTACAATGAAAAAGAGATGGCAATTCGCGAAAAAATTTTTTCTACAATCATTTCTGTTTTTAAAAAACATGGAGCTGTAACTATTGATACACCAGTTTTTGAATTGAAAGAAATTTTATCTGGAAAATATGGTGAAGACAGTAAATTAATTTATGATCTTGATGATCAAGGAGGTGAAAAATGTTCTTTACGATATGATTTAACGGTATGTTGCTCTTTTTTTGTTACCTGCGCAAAATCTTGTTAAGCGAATATCATTTATTAATTAATGTATTTAATATTTAATATAATCTATTCTTTTTTTGGTTAGGTCCCTTTCGCTCGGTTCTTAGCTATGAATTGTTCTCAATATCCAAGTATCAAAAGATATCAAATCGCAAAGGTTTATAGAAGAGATCAACCTGCTATGACTAAAGGTCGTATGCGCGAATTTTATCAATGTGTAAGTTGAAAAAAATGTTTTTATAAATTTATATGTTCATTAAGAGTGCTGATATAAATACTTTAGGGAGGGATCAAACTTGATTATGATTTATAATTAGTTCAAAAAAAATAATAATAATCTTACCTGTGATGAGGGTAAGCCTCTACAGTAAATGATTAATAAATGTCTACTCCCTAATGTTTGAATATTTTTCATTCTTTCTTATACCGTATTGTTCATTTTATAGGATTTTGATATAGCTGGCGTCTATGATCCAATGATTGCTGATGCAGAAGTTGTGAAAATCATGTGCGAATGTTTAACGGCTCTTGATGTCGGTAACTATACCGTTAAGGTAAATATTTTATCATCTATTCATAAACGAAATATCTACCTTGATTGTAACATAATTTATTTATTTATTTTATTTTTTTTTAGATAAATCATCGTAAAATATTGGACGGAGTTTTCCAAATATGTGGTGTTCCAGATTCAATTATCAGACCTATATCTTCTGCAGTGGATAAACTAGATAAGGTAGATATTGTTAATTTAGCATAAGTACTTATATATTTTAGTAGTTCCTGACATTAATATGATTTTATTAGTTGCCATGGGAGGATGTCAGAAAAGAAATGACAGAGGAGAAAGGATTAGATCCTGATGTTGCTGACCGCATAGGAGAATATGTTAAATTAAAAGGTACGTTTCATATCGCAATTTTTTAAGATTTGAAATTTTATGAGCTAAATATGTTAAAAAAAATTTTTTTTATTTAGGCGGAAAAGAACTTTTGGATAAATTGTTTCTAGACGAATCATTGCTTTCCAATAATAATGCTAAAGCCGGTTTAAATGACATGGTCCTTCTTTTTAAATATTTGGAAATATTTGGAGTGTTAGATAAGGTATTTCTTATTTGTATTTCTTATTGGCAGAAAGAAAGTATTTCCGATGTGTATACTGCGTATACTTAATTAATTATTATTATATTATTCAAAGATCTCTTTCGATCTTAGTCTCGCCAGAGGATTAGATTACTATACTGGTATTATTTATGAGGCCGTAACTGAACAATCTGGACCTCCAAGTAAGAGCATAATGTAGTTTACTTCAACACATCTAAAAATGATGTATTAATACCTATTAATAACTTTATTTTTATTTTATACATCAGAAAACATTGATGGGACCCAAATTACCCGAAAGACAAAAAAAAAAGATTCAGATGAACTTGATGAAACAACGGTTGGTGTAGGCTCTATTGCTGCCGGTGGTCGCTATGATAATCTCGTGGGTATGTTTGCCAGTAATAAAAAAGGCAACATACCATGTGTTGGCGTTTCCATAGGTGTAGAAAGAGTCTTTTCCATTTTGCTGCAAAAAGTTGCACTCGAGCAAGTAAAGGCAAATGAAATAGAAGTTTACGTAATGGCAGTTGCTGATGGATTACTGGAAGATAGAATGAAGATATGTTCAGAGTTATGGGAAGCTGGAATTAAGGTTTGTGTATTTCATTATTTAACCAACCAGACATGATTCAAAATTTAAATATACTTTTAACTCTGATAGGCCGCATTTATGTACAAGAACAAGCCGAAATTACAATCACAATTTTCAGTATGTGATCGTGATCAAATTCCTTTTGCTGTTATCATTGGTCGTGATGAATTAAATCGTGGTGAAGTTAGAATTAAAGATATGAGATCTAAAGAACAAGGTGAAGGTGGTGGTGCGTTCATAAAACGTAGTGATATGATAACTGAATTGAAGAAAAGATTAGGAAAGGATTCATAAATAAATTCACAAATGTAATTATCATAAATAATTTATTAATAGAAAAAAAAAATAAACATATAATACATCAATGTTTCAAACATTTAATTATTAATAACATAGTAATTGATCTTGTAAATTAAAATTATCATGCGATTCACGTTCACTTTTCACAAGAAATTTTATGTAAAACTTATCAGCAATCACCAACGTTTAAAATCCAAATTTGATTTTATGTTATCAAGAAAGTCTTGAATTTTTAATGTTCTCAGTATTAGAAAGTTACGTTCACAAATAGAAAATATTTTTCAATAATTCATGCACATAAAATTGTTAAGTGTTCTCAGAAAACACTAAGAATATCAAAATTTAAATACTGCTTATCACACTTTGCATGATAAGTTCGATCCCGTAAATTCACCTCGTCATTCATTGATCACACGATCATTTCAATATCTTCAATTATAGACCTGATCTAACACTCGAATTGTAGCTTCTATTGCCATTTAAACTCAAATTTATCATAAGATTTTTCGCTGATATTAAAATATTGTATCGAGAAAATTCCACAACACATCAATATACATAAGATTTATTAAATTCATATTTGATTTATTTATTTATTTTTTCTTAAAAAAAAAGTTTACAAACTTTGTAATAAAACGAGATGGTCGTTGCTGGGAATCGAACCCAGTATATATCCCCAAAAAGACAACGACTTTTTATACTTAATACTCGAGAGTAAAGCTCCGTCATCATATTAAGCTTAAAAAAAAAAAAACGTTTTCTTTTAAAAAAAAAAAAAAAAAAAAGAAAATTTAAACAAGCAATATTTGGTGAGTGGTTTGTTAAATCATCGATGTATTTTATAATACATCTCATCCCTGCGGAAGGTTTCATCTTATATTGCATAGTCTAAATTTTTTTTTTTAAAAAAAAAAAAAAAAAGAAAAACGTTAAAAAAATAAAAAAAGTAAAAAAAGCATAAAAAGGTAAAAAAAAAAAAAAAAACAATGTAAAAAGAAAAAAAAAGAAAAAAAACAATGTAAAAAGAAAGGTCATTCTAAACTTAATACTCGAGAGTAAGTAAAACTCCGTCATTATATTAAGACTTCAAAAGCGATACGGTCGGTAAAATTTTTCATAATCATCGACGGTTTCGTAATCAGTGAACCTCGAAACTGTAATCTAGTCATTAACCGTCTCATTTGCAAAAGATCTCGACCTATATCACAATTTTTAGAAAAAAAAAAAAAAAGTAAAGAAAAAAACGTAAAAAAGAAGACCTTTCTATACTTAATACTCGAGAGTAAGTAAACCCCGTCATCATATTAAGACTAAAAAGCGATATAGTTTGTAAAACTTGCGGATTATTAATCACCGACGGTTTCGTAATCAGTGAACCTCGAAACTGTAATCTAGTCATTAACCGTCTCATATTATCTGCAAAAGGTTTCACCTATATCGCTATTCTTTTTTTAGAAAAAAAAAAAAAATAAGTAAAAAGAAAATAAAAAAAAAGAAAAAAAACGTAAACAAAAAAAAAAATATATAAAAAAAAAAACGACAAGAACATTACCGATCAGCATAAATGATAACAAATGGAAGACTAAAACTTTGGGTAGAGTACATTCTTTAGCCAAACATTAATCGCCTAGACATTACTTTAATTTAAAGTAACCAGGACAAACTTAATGCTCGCCCAAATGAATTAATCTCCAAATGCCCGTTAGATGCCTAACAGCATATGCTCACGTCGCAAAGAAAAAAATTAAAAAATTATTAAAACACAAAAGTACGTGTGTTTATATATAAAAAATTTTCTAAATCAAAACAATCAAAACATTCACACGAAAGTCAGAAAAGGAAATTGATATACAAAAGATATGATCTGATGATTCACATGATGAAAATCGTGATATTGATTTTTATGTACGTCATCATTACATAATCATTACGTCATCATTACGACGCAGCGTAAATGAACAGATAGACTTCGACATTATTCACCATATCGATATATAGAATGTGATGTTCGAAGATTAAGAATTTTTGATTTCAGCTCGATACTTTACTATAACAGATTATAACAGATAATAAGAGTACATAGATTATAATTAACGTAAATGCAGTTAAATTTTACATAATTAAACTCAACTATTTTATAATAAACACATAACGCGTCCATTATTATCAGAGGATATACTGCTATATAATTTTCGAATACTTGTGTCTTAATAATATTTATCATATATAACTATTCGAGCGCTTCTTATTCCGAAGAATCTTTGTGAATTTAATGAATTAAAGATTCGTCAACCAAGGTCATTCAATTAAGAATAACATTTAAATTATGGTTAATAATATTAAAATCCAATTCTTGCATAATCATCTCTTACGTACTGTACATGAAAAACGGTCATAATACTGTATACTTACTTATATGTACAAAGAGATAACCCTCCTAAGGGGTTGAATTAATTCGGTTAACCTGCTACAAATATTAATTGCGACTTGTTTTTTTTTATAGCGCAACACTTACGATTTTTTAATTATAAAAATGTGTCATAATATCACAAAGTCGCAATATACAGTCGATACTGCCTAATTGCATACTGTCTAATTGCATATACTCTCTAAGTGCATAAAAAATTTTTGGCTTTTAATTATTAACACCAAAATGGTTCTTATGACTTAAATGCATATACTGTCTATATTCATAAAAAAAGTCTCTGACGGATGGCATGCAATTAGGCAGTATCGTAATATAATATCATATAAATTATGTAATATTGCAACCTAATATATATGTCTTATATCGTAATCAGATATATAGGATATTTTTTATAAAATAAACTAAAATTTAATTATACGTAATCTATATTACAAAGATAACGATAATTAATAGAATTCGATCTTGTGATTCTGCGATCTTACATCTTTTTGCAGCAAAAAGATGGTTCGCAATGGTTGCAACTAATTCTAAAGAGACACAAAGTTGCGACTTTGCAGTAGGTATCTTTAAACCCCCAAGACCCTTTATACCAGCCTAAACAAATTATCTAATTGTATAACATTACTTAATTTTATGAATAATTTGGTAATAAACAGTATAGATATCAATATAACAGAGTTTACCCGGGGTGGGTTCGGGTTCGACCCTAGACTCGATCTGGATGAGCATTAGATATTTGTCACAGTTTTTACAGGAATGTCTAAATGTTTAAGCCCTTATTCCCTTATTTTCTCTTATTATCTCTAATTATCCCCTTTTAACACTAAATTAGTATGTACAAAGAATATTTAATTTTGTACGCATGCAAGTTTGATTAAACTGTGATAACTTAAGATCTAGCAATCCAATTTGAATAATTTTGATTTATACAGTATTATTAAAATAAATCAAAAAAATTATTCAAATTGGATTGCCAGATCTTAAGTTATCACAGTTTAATCAACTTACGTATGTACGAAATGGAAAGTTCTTTTGTACTAAATGGAAAGTTCTTTTGTACTAAATTAAATATCCTTTTTGTACCAAATTAAATTTCCTTTTGTACTAATTTGATGTGTTGTATGCCTTTAACATCAAATTTAACAATTCTTGAACCAGTGGGTGATCTTGTTAATTTTGTTGATAGGAAGATAGGAAGTGTGGGTCGATTCAATTAAAGATTCATCGAGATAACTAACATAAAAAAGTAATCAAAAATTGACATGCTTTAAATGATATAATATAAATATATTATAACTTGCTGAACTTTTGAAAATTTTGATCAGTAATATATGATACGTAACTAGATCAATATATCTCTGATAAAATTACTGTTATAAATTTAAAAGCTCAAGGGCTCAAGGTCAAGTTTTTTTTTTAGCAGCGCTCATATAGTACTCACTGAATAACACCCTCATTATACATCTGACATTTATTCTGGTTGCGAATCAAAAGGTCTATTTGATGCTTGCTCTATGCTCCGTGCAAGCTTATCATTTCTTAAAAGGGCCATTTACTTAATAACATTGGTGTTCAAAAGTGTATGATTATTTTGAGACATTACCAAACTTGAATTAAAATTTTATAAGCATATAATACTTATTAATTAAAAATAGATAACCAAATTCGTATACTTGTTTAGTTCTCTTGTGATAATCTCTAATATTTTTCTAATATTTTATAGGTGCCCACAATTCAAGTTCACTTTCATAAATGCAAAATGCGTTTGCTCTTTATAAGAAAGATAGAGATCTAATACATAATATACTGTACAATGATACAATACATAATGTATTCAATTATTTTAACTCCAATTCCCACATTAGGCTTTAGTCTCACACAAACAATTTGAGAACCAGCAAACAGTTGATTTCTCCTACGTAGTATGAACAATTGTGCCAACTACAAAAAGACAACACCTTCGTTGACCCCACGATAAAATGTACTTACTACACTTTCATTTTTTTTGTCTTTGCAATCATTAACGAGAAAATGTAGACTTTTTGTAAAAACATCATATGCTGTTTGATAGTTTACCTTTTTTATATAAGTGACGCAAAAGGAAAACTAGACTTTAAGCTTTCAAGTTAATTATTTTTATTTATTGTTTACCGGATTCAGCCCTGATGGCGACATATTTGACACGTAATTAAGTTTAATTATTCTTCATATATGTTTCTGATCAGGGCTGAGTCTAGTAAATAACAAATAACAAACTTGAAAGCCTAAGACCTGGTTTTTCCTTGGCGTCACCCATATTATCTTTACTATAGATTGGTCACCCGCGATTGGGTCGGTTATCAGATTGTAATTACACCAACCCGGCTAAAGGTTACAGTAACAACCTGCAGGTTAAACCTACAGATCAACCCGCGGGTTAAACCCGTGGGATAAACCATAAATCAACTCGTAGATCATCTATAAGTAGTTGATATATATTTTCATATAAAACCCTAATGAATTTGAGTTAAAAGCTTATTGGTTGTTTGGTGAGTACGAAGAATCATTTATAGATTTAAATATCATT